GGGGGGGGGCGGGGGGGGCACGTGCAGAGGTCAAGCATCACCCCAACAAAATTTGTGCCACCAGCACACTCTCACAGCAGCCCCGAGGCAGGCCTGCCCCGCTGTGTCAGACGAGGGGACTGAGCCGAGGAGGGCCCGGGGGTCAGCGGGGGGCAGGGACGCCTGGAGGCCACGGCGCAGACCTCGGGGACAAGCAGAGACCTGCCTGCCCCGCGGCCCCGCCCGCACCTGCTGGACGCAGCTCCCCTCTGACCGCTCGGTTCCCCGCCGTCACCACCATGACCTGCGTGTCTCGATCCACGGCGCGTCCCGCCAGCAGATCTGGGGCGTGAGGCCGCGCAGGCCCGCCCGCCGACCCCTCCCACCTACCTTTGCTCTTCCAGTTGCGGTCGGCCGCGTAGCCCAGGTGGCCGGCGCACTTGCGGTTGAACTCGGCCACCAGGGACCTGTACGGGTTCCGGATCAGCAGGATGGCCGAGTCGAACATCTCGATTTCCCTGCGGCCGCTCTCGTGGGTCTTCACGCAGATGGTGCGCCGGCTCCGCCAGTGGTCCTTCTCGCCCTTGAACCCTGGGGGAGGGGAGGCCCCTGAGCAAGGCGTCCGGACACCCCCTCCCCCGCAGCCGGAGGAGCTGGACGCACTTCCAGGAGACCCCAGAAGCCTGACCTGAGTCACAGCTCGGGTCGCAGCTGCAGGTGCGGCCAGTTGATAGAGGCTCAGAGAGGGCGTGTGGCGCACAGCAGAGCCAGTCACACACGTCCCACCAAAGACGACCGTGTGCTGGTCTGTGCTGGACTTGACATTGGGGGCAAAGGGGCTCAGGCGGGGTCTGGCGAGACAGCGGCCCTGGGGCCATGCCGCGCGCAGGGGCTCGTGGGAACACGGAGGAAGGGCCGGTAGGGGTGTGGAGGGACGTCACTGAAGGACTCCCTGCCACGTCCCGACAGAGCCCAGGTCGGCCAGCCCGGGACACGCGCTCCAGACACGAGCGCACGATTGTCCTGGGCTCCCGGGGACCAGGTCAGTGGGCAGGGAGGGGCTCTTTGATGCCGGGAAACACAAGCCGCCTTTGAACCTGGGTTCGCCCACTGGAACCCAACACGTTTCAGACGCGCCACGGCCAGACGCCACAGGCCACACACCACGGGCCTTCACTTTGGCTCCTTCTGGCAAATGGCTGAGAAGGTCCAGGGAAGGGGGGCCAGACCGCGGCCGTACACACGGGATCTGGTCCCCGACGCCCTGGGGCCTGCCCCGCGGGGACCCTCAGGGACCTCACGCAAGGCGACCCCAGCCACCGGGCCACCTGGCCGTTGCAGACGGAGAGCGCCAGCTGTGAGGACAGGTTGGGCCCCGGGGCCAGGTGGTGGTGCAGCCTCACGGGGCCCAGAGCGGGCAGGATCGTCCAGCCGCCCCCCTGTGGCCGGTGACACTCGGGCCCCGTCCAGGGACCCCTCCCCTGGCTCCTCCCACCAGACCAGACCCTCGGCCGGGCCCAGGGCCTTAGGGAGCCAGCGTCAGGGTGAGAATCCAGAGAAACGTGCCCATGCCCGACACAGACGCCTCTCGGGGACCTGAGCTCTCAGCCGGCGCATGAGCTCAGCCCGCGGCACAGGGAGCCTCGCTAGCCCCCGTCTACACCCGCTGCAGCGGCCCCACTCACCTTTGTTGTACAGCGTCCCGTCAAAGTAGTAGCTGCCGGTGTAGAAGCCGGTGGCGTGCTCGATGAGGTGCCGCGCCCACGTGTTCCCGGCCCCGGGGAAGCTGGACAAAGCCACGAACACCTTGGACTTGGCCGGCAGGAACCTGCGGTCCGTGCAGCGGGTGTCTGAAAGGCCAGAAGCTGACCACTGACTGCCCAGCAGGCGCTGCCGACCCCAGACTCCCACTCCTCAGGCGGGGAAACTGAGGCCCGGGGAGGGGTGCCACCTGGCCGCAGAGACAGCCCCCGCCCCCCCGCACCAACATGGACCACTCTCCCTCCCCCAGAGGCCAGGGAGTTTGCCCAGCACCGCCCCACCCGCCCCCGCTCGGCGCGCGGCCACACGGCTGCTCCAGGCCCCCGAAGCGGAAACAGCGGAAGCGCCTGGGGAAGCGACTCACCCTGCACGGGCGTCTGGTAGACCTCGCAGTACTCGGCCAGCCTCCGGGCCTCGGGCCCCCGGCCGCACAGCGAGCCGTCCGCGGCGTCCCGCAGGCTGAACTGGGGCGTGGGGTAGGCGCAGTAGCAGTCCCAGCCCCGCAGGACGGCCAGCGGGAACTCCTGGGAGGGAGGGGAGGGAGCGGCTGCGGCGGGTGCCCACGGCCGCCCCCCCCCCCCCGCGCCCCGTGACCCCTCCGGGGAGGCCGCCTCCGCGGAGCAGACTGCGGGGGCGCTGGGCGAGCCCGGGCGCGGTGCAGAACCTCCCTGGGTTTCACCGCTGAACAAGGGCAAGAAGACCCGCCCAGCACGGGCGGGCGCGCACGCCTGCTGTGCACCCCACGCCCGCTGCCTGCCCCCCGTCCCGCAGCCCGGGAGCGTCCGGGGGGGGGGGGGCGGCCACAGGAAGCCGCCTGCACCCTCGGCTGCGCCGCACAGACCTTTGTATATTTTACCCACAGCGCCACCTCATAAATAATGAATAAAAGGAAATCAGTAGCGTTTTCTGCGCGCGTTTGGCAAAGCCGAGGCGCGCTGTCCCTGCTCTCCAGGAAGCCGAGAGGAGGACGCCGGGCGCTCCCCTCGGGGAGCCGTCCTCTGACTCGGGGCACCTGAAGGTCTCAATCCTGAGATCCCGCCCGTTGGCCCCCCACCCAGCCCCCAGGCCCGACGGACGCAGGTGGGAAGCCACTCCCCCCGCTGCACACACGACCCTCTTTCTAGGCGAGACCCACTGAGAACAGACCGTGAGGAAGACCCGCGGCCGCAGCGGCCCCAGCCCCCACCGGCCACTCACTTGGCCACAGCGTGGGGCCAGTGTTGGGGTGCAGGGCCGGGGCCTGGACGGGGGCGCGGAGCAGAGGCTGACAAGCCCGCCAGCCGCTAAGGCGGGGCTCCCCCCACACGCGCCATCCCTCAGCGTGACGCGGAGTCTGTCCCCACCCGACATTCTAACCCCGCCTCAGGACATGAGCGTATTTGGGGACAGCGTCGCCCAAATTCCGTTCAGTTAAAATCTGGCTGGGGGGCCTTCAATCTAATCTAACTGGCGTCGTGACAAGAGATTAGGACACGGACGGACAGACGACCGTGTGGACGCAGAGAAGAGACGGCCATCTGGGAGCCCACAAGGCAGGCCTGAGAAGGAGCCCCCCATCTGGGGCTTCCGGCCTCCAGAACCAGAGACGAGCCCGTGTCGTACCAGCCCCCGTCTGTGGGACGTCGTTCAGGCTGAGCTCCCACACCGGGCTCCCTACTGGCCCACGCGGAGCAGGCCTGTGCCCACCTCAGGACCTTGGCACCTGCTGCCCTTGGCCTGGAACGTCCTACCCCCAGACGCCCCACTTTCTCAAGCCCTGTTTTCACAGAGGCCTTCGCTGAGCACCCCGTTTCAGGCCTCCACACGCTTCTCACCCGCATGGGGCCCCTGTCCCGTCGCTGAGCCGTCCGGCTCTGCCTCACGTGACGTAGGACCACAACGGGGCGCTGCCCTGCGACCTGTACAGTCAGCTCAGCCGCACACACCGGCCCACGGCGGTTCCTCGCCCGCCCCCCCCCCCCCCCCCCCCCCCCCCCCCCCCCCCCCCCCCCCCCCCCCCCCCCCCCCCCCCCCCACCCCCCCCCCCCCCCCCCCCCCCCGAGAAAGGCCCGCGGCCCCTCCCCCCGCACCACACCCCAGTCCCGTCTGTCCCACGGGGTCGTCTGGGCAGCATCCCTCGTGCAGACGTGGCATCTGGGCCCCAGGGGCGCCGGGGCTGTGCCACGGGAGTGCGGGCGGGCGGGGACCGTGCCCGGTGACAGTCCACACCATGGAGGACGCTTCTCGGACGCCTCACGAACGACGAGGAACCAACGGGCTGATGCACGAAGCCCCCCGCCCATCAGGTGCAGGTAACACTGGGGCCTGGGCCCTCCGGTCACCAGGGCCCCGGGCGCCGCTGCCCGGATGTCCTGCTCGGGCAGGAAGACGCCAGCGCGCGGCCCGCGCCCCACCTCGCAGCAACCCGGCCCCTCAGCTCCCGGAGTGGATTAAACGGTCAAGTTTCCGGGCGTGCACGGAGCGGGGGGGGGGGGGGGGGGGGGGGGGGAACGGAAATGTCGTTTTATTTACAACATAACCGCTTCAGGACATCACCAGATTCTGAAAACACAGAACAATTTTCAGCCCCTTGGGGATTTCTAGGACACGATTTCCATAAAAATTAAATATTGATGAATCTGCTCTCCGCCAGCGTCCCTGCTGCCCCTCCCCCACCCGGGCGTCAGAGTCAGAGCAAGAGAGCGAGGCGATGGGAGGCGGAGGCCAGGACACAGACGCGGGCGTCTCCGTCACGGGGTGAAAGGGGCACCTGCTCAGCCTGCGTGGGGTCGGGGGGTACGTCTCCCCCCAAACTCCACGCGGGGCCTGCTGTGCGGGGCACGGGGGGCGGCGCTGCCTGTGTGCACGGGCACCGGGTCACAGCAAGAGCTGAGCTCCCCGGGCGCCTGGGGTCCACGTGCGAGGGTGTGGCCGGGGCCAGGGAGGGGCGTCCCCCCAGGTCGTCTGGGCCTCATCACCTCTGTCTCGTCCCCCGGGAGCGCCTTGCTCGGGGTCCAGGGTTGCGGGGAATTACAAAGACGTCAAGTTTGTTTCGGAGGGGAAACTGAGGCATGGAGGCAGGTGGCGAGGAGCCCGAGACCTCGGGCTGTGAGAGGGCAGTGGGGACAGAAGCTTCTGGACTCCCAGCCGGGGCTCAGCCACACACCACACTCAACCCCATGCACACAGACACACGAATCGTTGGGTTTTTGGTGAAATCTTCGAACCAGCACAGAGCTCACCGTGCCCCTTCTCTCCGGAGGGGGTCCGGGCATCCAGGCCCAAACAGGACAGACGCTGCAGGGGGGGATGGGGGTGGAGGGGCTGTGAGCTGTGGGCGGGACTTCCTCTCTAGGCTTGAGTCGGGGAACCCGCCCGCTGGGGGTCACTGTGCGTCTCCCTCCCGTGTGGCTGCACAGCGGGGCCGTGTGGGCGGCGCGGGGGCCGTGGAGGCAGGCCCAGCCCACAGTCACCGGCAGGAGCCTGGGGCTCCGAGTCGCATCCACAAGAATCCGTGAGAATGCCACGGCTTGGGGCCACGGGACCGACCAGGACCTCAAGGCGGACTCGGCCACACAGGGACATGCACCCTTGTCAGTGACTCTGAACCCATCGTCCACGGCCCGTCCTCACAACGGGGCCAGAAGACTCGCTTCGCAGAATGTGCCGGAAGGCTCACGAGCACATGCCAGAAATGCACAAATCCTTCACTCCAGCGATTCCAGAAATGTCTGACGACACAGCCCGAGGAGAGAGTTGTGACCCTGCTCACAGGCCGGCCTTCGGGAAGGTGTTCTACGAACAGCGGGGCCGGCGGCCACGAGGGACACACCCGCAAAGGGAAGAAGTGAATCCACATACACTTGGAATGAAAGACCAGGGGCCGGAAACCGGTACTGGTGGTTTTCTCAGATGTGCGGAAGCTACACGTGAGGTTTAAGTCTCCACCTCCAAAGTCTCCAAATTGTCTAAACTAGATACGCGTCCCTTCTGCAGCCACCCCACCCCCACCTCCCCCACAACAATAAACGTTCCTTAAAGACACACGTAGCGTAAGACCCCAAAGCTGTGCGGGACGGTGATCTACCCAAAGGACCACGCAGCCTTCTCGCAAAGAGAAACCTTCCCGACATCGAGGTGGCTAATCCCCAGAACCCAGACCCTCACAGACCCAACCCCTGGCAAAGCCGGGGTGGGGGGCAGCCCCCCTCGGGACAGACTGCACCTGCCTCGATGCAGGTGGGTCAGGCGGGCCGCGGCCGCGCAGCAACCAGCCGGCCTTCCCACGGCGCCCGCGCTGGGTCAGCGCCGCTGATCACCAGCCACAGAAAAGGCCTAAGAACGTCAGCGGAAGTGCCCATGGGGGCGGCGACGGATCTCGTGCGGGGACACTTACGCCCCGGGGCTGGAGACCCCCTTCATCCTCGCCCCCCGACTGTCTCTCAGCAGAACCACAAGCAGCCGCGGGGACAGCGGACCTCAGACCCCTCTGATCTCTGGAGGAGTGTGGCGAGCTCCCACTGAGCGCGATTCCCTGGGCGGCCCCAGCGAGGGGCCTGCGCACAAACGCGGCCGAAATCACCCACCCCAGGTCCAGACGGACCTCAGGGTGCAACCCTGAACCAGCCCCCCCGGCCCTGCTCACCTTCCTCTGTCCAAACAGAGCCGGTGACAGCGCCCCGAAGAACGGAGACAGAGCACGGGGTCTGCCTATAGCCCCCCAAAACCGGAGGAGATTGCTTCACTGTGTTCTAACGCACAGCAAGCCGGCTGGGCCCCCACTGCCAGAGTCAGATGGTCCAGGTGCGGAGAGCACCCCAAATTGTTCTTTTTCTGTCCGGCCGCACTCCTGGAGCTCCCCAAACCCTCGTAAGCAACCGGCAAACACCAGTAGAGGCGCCGCTGTGGCGCTCGGAGGCGGCCCCCAAGGTCGGGCCCCCCCCCCAGCCTTGGCTCCCCGGCGACCTGCGCCACAGTCCAGAAGACACCTCCGTGTGGCCCGCTGCGCCCACGTCCTGGGGTCTCTGCGCCTTCCCGCCAGATCAGCAGGAGGCCAAGGTGCCCCTGACGCCCTGTGGTCCCGGTGCCGCTGGCCTTTCTGGGAGAGGGTGCTGGGCTCCCCAGGGGGCCGGGCGGCGCCTTTCTCACCCCTTCAACGTGCAGGGAGGAGAGAGAACAGGTCCCTCTGCAGGCTGCCCCCCCAACCCCCCGTCCGGAGGCCCCCCCCCCGTCCCCAGACCTCAGCCTGGAGGTGGTTCCCTGCTGCTCCTGGGGGCAGTTAGGAAGGGCGGGTGTCCCCCAGGTGTGGCGCGGGGCGTGTGCGGCCGAGGCAGCTCTGGGGCGCTGGCGCTGGGGGGGGGGGGCTCTGCCCGCAGGCGCTGGGTGGGGGCGGGAGGGGCGGGCACATCCTAAGTCGAGGATCCACTAGAGGCGCTGTCACTGCTCCAGGAACCCCGCCCTGGGGTGAAGTGGGAGCCCCCAGACCCCGGCGGAAACAGCGCTAGAGCCGCCAGCGGGGGGGGGGGGGGCGCCTGAGGCTGGGCCCCAGTTAGCACGACGCCCCGGGGTGATGCCGAGGGGCTGGGGGCCGCCGTCTGGGAGCCAAGGTGGCGTGGAAGGTGGCTCCACCCGAATGCGGCCCACCTGGGTGTTACCCCGGCCCACCTGGGTCTGCCCCCTGCCCGCGGCCCCGCCCCTGCCCGCGGCCCTGGCCCCCTGCCCCCCCGGCCCCCTGCCCCCCAGGGGTGCACACGCCACGGCGTCTCACCCGCAGCCCCGGAGCTCCGTCCACACCGGCCGTGCTGCACACGGTCCCTCGCCCCGCACGCAGCCCCGCCCCGCGCGCCGCCCACGCGCACCTTCCCGCGGGCACGTCCCGCCCTCAGCTCCGCCCCCTGAGGCCCCTTCACCTGCTCGGGCGCTGACCGCCCCCACCCCGGGCTCTGCCCGCACCCCCGTGGGCGTCGGTCCGCTCGTGGAAACAACCAGAACGCTTAACAGCGGGGGGGGGGGGTAAATACACCACAGGATGTCCCCTGGGTGCTAACACGGAGCGGCCCGTCCCCCCCCATCCCGCGGGTTGGGGGCGCAGCACGGGAGCCCCGGAGCGGCGGGTTCTGGGGCCCGCGGGGTCACAGTGTCGCCCCTCGGAACCCCGGGAGGTTACAGCAGGTCACGCAGGGCACCTCCAGGTTTACAGACCGCGGCAGCCCGGCCCGGCCCCGCCCGCTGAGCCGCTCCGATTCCTGGCGGGGTGGGGGTGGGGGGCCCCTGTGCAGGGGAGCAGGGGCGCGGCCGGATGTCCTGAGCCCCGAGGACGTGCCGGCGCCCGGAACTGCCGGAGACGCAGAGGCCCGCGTCACAGGCTGCAGTCTGGGAGGACAGCACGGAGGAAGGGCGCCGTCCGGGGTCCAAGGGAGGCACGTCAAGAGGAGCCAGGGAGGGCGCGTTCCTCTGCGCCCTGGGGCCCGCCTCCTGCACCTCCCAATCTGCAGGGTCAGAACCGCCCCGACCCACTGGGTCCAAATCCCAGCGCCTGACCTAGGGGTGCCGTGACCTCGGGCCTCCGTTCCCGCCCCTACAAACGCAGAGTCCCAGCGCCCACAGCTTCGTGCCACGCCCGGGGGCCACTCTGGGGCCGCCGCGACCCTGCCGCCGACCTCTGTGCTCTGGGGCCCCAGGTGGCCCCGAGCAGCCCCCCCCCACCCAGAGCTACTGTGACAGACCGGTCGGTGGCCTCGGAGCCCCGTCCTGCCTCTGCAGAGTCCCCCTCGCGGGAGCCCAGGCTCAGCCCAAGGCGCACCTGTACCCACGGTCCCCGAAGCCAGGTTCACGGGCTGCCCTGTCCCCGGGGCGACAGATGACCCGGCCACTGTCCCCGCTCGCCGAGCCAGCACGTCTCGCTAACAAAGCCCGTCGACTTAACAACTGACACGTGTGTCACGGCCCCCACGGGGAAGGCACACGTGTGTCACGGCCCCCACGGGGAAGGCACGGCCTGGGCGGCCACGCGAGTCCCCGCCCCCCCCCCCCCCCCCGCCCCCCCCCCCCGCTCCCCGCCCCCGCTCTTGTCACAGGACCTTACCTTCTGGGAACAGAAGCCCGAGCAGGCCTCCACGGTGGCGTTGGGCTGCGCCAGGGAGTCGGGGAAGCTGTGGGTGCCGTTCTCCGGCAGTCGGAAGCACCCGCGGTACGCGACGGTCCTCCCTGCGGGGACACAACGGGCTTCTGGAGAGAAGCGGTGCCGCCGCCAGGAAACAGGCGCGAATGTGCTCGGGGGGGCAGGTATCGCACCAGAGGCAGCCCTCCCTGGGCGAGCTGGGGGGAGCGTGTCTCTGGAGGCCACGGTGCCCAAACCTCGTCACCCGGGGTCACCTCGTCACAGGGGCCACGTGGCGGCGGCCGCGGACCTCAGGCCTGCGTCTCCTGCCGGTCTGGGGATGGCACCCACCGCCCCCTCTCCTTCCTTCTCCTCCCTCCCTCCCTCCCTCCCTTCCTTTCACAAATCTGGACCACACATCCCTTACGTGCCAGATTCTATACTCTGTGACCCGAGAGGCTGATATTCTGGAAAATTCTATGTCCCCACAGCACGGGTGTGAGAACTACATCTGTTAATGGGAAATCTCGCTGTGCTGCGAGACCCGCTTGTCTCTGATCCTGGATTCCCGCCAGACCCCACCAGACCTTCTGGTGGAAAAGTCCAGCCCCTAGCTAGCTTCCTTGATGACTCTTCTGGAATGTTCCAGCTCCGAGGGCTGGTGCCTCGTCCACAGCAGCCAGCAGCCCGGGAGGTGTCTCTGTGCGCAACCGTCTAGTCCACACGGTCCCCTCGTGCCCGGGGCACAGTCCAAGCACAAGGGCACCTCCAAGGTGCTCCAGTGCTGCTGGGCTCCCCTTCGGGGCACTCACTGCCCGGGAGTGCTCCCTGCCAGCGAGAAGCTAAAATGGAAGGCGGGTGGCCACCTGGTCAGCGGAAGACAGAGACCCCGGGGCCTCAGCCCCTGGAGGAGGGCGGCCAAGCGCAGCCGTGCAGCCCACAGGCTGGCGGGAGGGGCAGCCTCACAGCTTTTCGGCCTTAGCCGCGACATCGGCTGCAGCCGACCCCGGACCCGGGGCTGCCTGAGTGACAGGGCCGTGTGGCCCCACCCAGAGGGCAACCCGGAGCCAAAGAGCGAGCTTTGAGTCGGTGGTCCGCACGCAGGAGGGGCCCAGAGCCCCAGTGTGGACGGTGTCTGAACCCAGGGACCTCGAAGGTCCAGGGGCCGACCGGGAAGCCTGTGCAGATGTGCAGGTAACGGGTCAGGGCCCGGCACAGAGCGGGCGTCGATGACTGTCTGCTGGGTTGATGGCTTGTCAGAGACGCCACGCTGCGTGGTCGGGACCCCCGCGCCGGCGCTCATGCCCGGCCCGAGTCCCCGACCGCGTGCTGTCTGAATACAGACGCCCCCACGCACAGCGCCGGCGCTGGCTGTCACGCGCACCCCGAGCGGGCGCAGCGGGGCTTCCGTACCGCGGGGCAGGCTCGCTCGCTGCCCCGAGAGCCCTCCGGGGACCCCCTAAGTCCCGGCCCCCCTGGAGCGTGTTACCAGCGTCACCAGGCCCACGGCCGTGAGGTGCGGCAGCGGGACGCTGGGCGGCCCCGCCGCAGAGCCGGGCCGGGCGAGGGCCCTGGTTCTGACATCCCCACTCCCGGCCCGGCCGCCGCATCACAAGGACGCCCCGACGCGGGCAGGTTATTTTAGAAAGAGGCCTTGGACGATCACGTTAAGCGGATCCGGGGTGAGTCCTCTCGCAGCGAGGACGCATCTGAGTTTCACCGCACCTCGCGCGGCACCGCAGTGGAACTGCTTGGGGGTCTCTCTGGCTGCCCGGGGCACCAGCTCCCTGCGCCTCGCGGCTGGCGCCTGCCTCCCGCGTTCTGTGGTCTGGGGTCGTGAGCTCATCCTCGGTGAGGATTTATCTACGGGAACTCGGTTCGCCCGGGTCGGTGGTGCTGCTCTAGAGAGGCCGCACCTGCTCTGTCGGTACCGCCACGCCTCCCAGAGGCGACTGTCCCGTCGGGGCGTCGATACCAGGCAGCCGGTGAAAATTCGAATGTCGAACAAAACTCACCCAAATGCAACCAAAGCAAGGGTTTCGCTTTGGTTTTTGTTTTGTTTTTAATTTCACCTCCAGCTGAAGTCAAAACACCTGGGTTTTTCTACCCTTCTGAACCGGTAGGGGGGATTTTGTTCTGAACCTAAGGTTGCACGGACCGATACCGGGGTGGAAATCTGTGCGCAGCGCTCAGTCCGACCCCACCGGCCCACAGCCTCCTTTCCTGCCCGACTTGGACACCGAAACCTCGGCTGCACTTCCTTTCCTTTCGTGGGCGCTTAGCTCCGCACAAGGAACGACCAGGAAACTTCTAGACCCTCTGGCCGTCCTTACTGCTGCACATCTAGGTCGGCCTGTGCACTTGACCAAAGAGACTGGAACCAGAGAGGCCGACCAAACTGCCTGCGGCCACACAGCGCGTCGCAGACACACCTGAGCCGCGGCCCACACGGAAGCCGCTCTGCCCGGCCGTGCGCCCCGGCGGCCCCGGGCCCCCACGGGAGCCCTGCTCCTGCCCCGCGTGGCCTCGCCCCGTCCCCAGTTCCCATGTGAGCTCGCCCCCTGCAAGGTGGTGGGGAAAAGAGGGGCCTGGTTCTTCCCCGCGTGCCAGTCCGGTGTCTGGAAGGGGGGCTGCGGGCGCGGAGGCGGGGCGCCGCGCGGGAGGCGGGGCGCCGCGCGGGAGGCGGGGCGCCGCGCGGGAGGCGGGGCGCCGCGCGGGGGGCGGGGCGCTGCGCGAGGGGGCGGGGCAGGGGTGGGACGCCGCGCAGGGGGTGGGGAGAGGGAGAGCAGGCCAGGAAGGCGTGGCTGCGGGCGGGGCGCTGCGCGAGGGGGCGGGGCAGGGGCGGGGCGCCGCGCAGGGGGCGGGGCGCCGCGCAGGGGGCGGGGCGCCGCGCAGGGGGCGGGGCGCGGGGCGGGGCCGCACACTCACGCTTCCTGGAGCTGGGCTGCAGCTCTTGCACGCGGTACACCGACAGCCGGCCGACGCCCCCGCACGCCGAGCCCTTCTCCCCTTTGCACTCGTGGTTACAGGCCTCCGGCCCGACGCTGGTCACGGGGAGCCGGTTCCCGCAGTAGCACTCCGCCCCCGCCTCCAAGCCCGCGTAGACGTATGACCTGCGGGAGAGCGTCCTGCTGACTTCCCGCCCGGGTGCTGCAGCAGCGACCAGGTCAGGGTCTAGGTCAGGGTCAGGGTGGTCTGGGGTCGGGTCTGGAGACGAGGCGGGGACCCGATATCAGGGTCATTGGCTGAATGTGGGGGGCAGCCCTTCCTCTGTGGTAACCGAATCCCATCAGCCCCCTATCCGCCCCCTCCCCCTGCTCTGGTCACCCCGAGCTTTGTCCCCAAGCCACTGCCCGCTGGGGCTGCGGGTCCTAGGCCGCGGGCGCTGGGTACCGGCCCTCAGCGCGGCCGGAGGGGAGCCCGACTCTGGCACGTGTGAGTCCCCGTGTGCAAATACCCCAGCGCAGACGGCCGCGCACGGAGAACGCAGCCCTGCGCTCCCCGCGTTCGCACAGACTCAGGGCTGAACCCGCGAGTCTGAAGCGCCTGCCCCCACCGCGCGGGGTCGCCCGTAAGGAGGCAAGATTGCAAATGGGACCTGCCGTGCGCCACACAGGATGTTAGCTCGGGGACGGGGCCCCCAAACCCAGACTGATCCCCTTCCGGCCACCCGCTAGACTGCCACTTGGTACCGCCCAGTCTGTCTCCCCAACTGCCGGGAGGGAGAGGGGACTGTGTCCCTGTCACTTTTACTCTGTCCAGACTACAAAAGCACATCCAAGCAGGGACCTGCCCTTTCCTTCCAGCCTCAGTTTCTCCATCTATAAAATGGTCACAATTAATCACACCCAACCGGAAAGTGGTGAGTGAGAACTTAAGTCGCAGCAAACGTGGACGAATCTAATGTCACAGAAACAAGTCCCCAGCAGCCCCTGCTGCGTCTGGTGCGGCCGGCTCCCAGGTACAAGTGCACACGCATGCACTCAGGAGGTTGAGCTGGGTGCCATGGTGGGAGAGGCAGGTCCCTGGCACACGGCTGCTGCCTGCTAATGGGGGGGGAGGGCACAGGCGGCATCAGAATCGGCGAATCTGGGCATGAAGCCCAAGACAGAAACATGCCTCTCCTGTGGAGCTAGAAGGGTCCTCGGAGAAACACGGAGGGGAAGCCCTTTACCATAGTTTTTTTTTCTTTATTTTTTAAAATGTTTTATTTCTGAGAAAGAGAGAGAGAGAGACAGAGTGTGAGCAGGGGAGGGTCAGAGAGAGAGGGAGACACAGACTCTGAAACAGGTCCCAGGCTCCGAGCTGGCAGCACAGCGCCCGACGCGGGGCCCGAACCCACGAACCGCGAGATCGTGACCTGAGCCGAAGTCGGACGCCCAACGGACTGAGCCCCCCCCGGGCGCCCCATACTGTAGTTTCAACACTGAGGGAAACCGAGGCCCAGGGGAGGAAAGCGACTCGCTGGCCGGCGTCTGATCCGTCCAGCTCCCCGGCCGCCACGGACGCCTGGCTCGGACCGTCTGAACCTGCTTCCGCGCGAGCCGCACTCACCGCTCAGCGCACGCGTCCTGGCAGCGGGAGACGGTCATCTTCCTCAAGTCGAAAAACACGGCCCCCTTCAGGGTTCTGTCCCGGCCACTGTCACTGAAGCACCCGACGTATGTGCCTGCGGGCGGGAGGCGCCGCAGAGACTCAGGCCCCGGGGACGGCGGCGGGGGGGGTGTGTGTGGAGGGGACGGGAGGGGTCCTAGCCCTGGGACACCCCCCTCCCCCCGGGACGGACCGGCCGGCCAGGCTCTTCTCAGAGGCCCCTGCCCCTCGCTCCCTTCCTGCCTCTCCCTTAGTCAACGGCCCACTGTCCCCGCAGACACCTGCCAGGGGCTGGCGTCAGCCCGGACACCCTGTTCTCCAACCCCAGCTCTGCCGGCTGACCCCCTCCCCCACCCGCCCCCCACCCCTCCCCGCCCTGGGCCTCTAGAGGCCTCCCTGCCCCCACCAATGTCCTGACAGGCAGTTTCTGTCACCTCCTTGTGACCCAGAGGGAAGACCTCAGTTACGGAAAGTCCGACCTTCGCTGAAACACAGAAGAGCTGGCCAAGGGGAAGAGACACTCCAAGAAAAACCCCGCAGTCCGGGGGGGCGTGTAGATGTGTGTGGGGCTGTAAGACAGCCGTCCCGCGTGGGAATCGATAGCGCCAGGGACGGCTGAGCCCTCGCCTGGACACTGGGGGGACGTGACCCCGCCAAGGGGGAGCCTGACACAGCCCTGCCCGTCACCCCGACTCAGAGGGGTCTCCCAGAGACGCCCCGAGAAGGCGAGCACGGAGCGGGCATGTGCGGCGTGTGAACGCACCGCCATGTTGTGCGGGGGCTCACACGGTCCACGCTGCCTTCAGCCAGTGGCAGTGCCAGCCGTGCACGGGGCGCCCGTGATGCGGACACTGCCGTCTCCCCCGGCACGTCAGGCCGGGCACCGCGCAGCACACGCAGCGGGAGGGCGGGGGGGGGGGACACACCCACGGCCTCCCTGTGGCAAGATCCTGGCGGGCAGGCGAGGCTCACGGTGCTCCGGCCAGGATCGCGGTCCCCAGCGGGGGGCCCTGGGCCGCCTGCCGAGGGGGTTGGGGAAGTGGACCCACCAACCTCGACTCCCGGGACCGAATCCGGGAACGACCGTCCTGTCTGTGAACGCGCCTGACGCCGCCTCTGACCTCAGCTAAGTTACAGCCACGCTCTGTGCCTCAGTTTCCCCAACCATCCACCCACCTGCCTCACCCGGCCCCAGCCCCTTTTCACCTGCCCCGTGTGGACCTGCACCCACGCTCTGCCTCCCGCCCGGCCTTGACGGGCGCCCCCGACCACTCCAGCCACTCCTTTCTCCCCTGACGGCCACCCGGACGCGGCTCCCAGGCCCCGACTCAGGAGAGGCCGCGCGGGGTGAGGGCCGCGGTGGCTGGAGACCGCACTCCGCCGTGCCAGGTCAGTCGAGGCTCACAGAGACCTCGGGGCGGCGGAGGGCAGAGGTCACCCTCGCCAGTGTCTGCCCGCTGGAGGGACCTCTCTGTCCCGTTGGCGCCAGGCCGCCCGTCAGCTGGCAGGCCGCCCCCCACGCCCGTCCACAGGCACCAGCTCACGCTCAGGACCCGGAACCCCGGGGTCACGAACATGACAGACCCGAGGGGCCGCCGCAGGAAGAAACGCCTACGCTCGGCCGGCTGAGTCAGTGAAAGGACACTAATATTGGAGGAATTTCTGGGGTGCTGCTCAGGGAAGAAGAAAGTCTAGTACGGTTTTCAATTAAACATCCAAAACACAGGCTCAGGGGCTGCTCAGCGTTTATCACCGTTGATGGGAAATTAACCAAAAGCGTGTAAAGGGGTCTGGGCTCACGACCCCGAAGGCTGAGGCTGGCGGCTGTGAAACGTGCTTGGGGCAGAGTGAGGGGCACGAACCTAGGCATCCCCACCCTCCCTGGGCTGCAAGGCCTGGCCCGTGCAGCCCCCCCCCGCCCGCCCGTGCCTCAGTTTCCCCATCTGTAAAGTGGGCTCGTGCCCTCCCCCCGGGCTCGCGGAGGGTTGAGAGGGGGACACCACCTCCTCATCGTACGGCCGTCTGGAGGTGAGTGAGTTCTCGGGCGGGGACGGCCATCCCTGCGCTCTAGCCAGTGGGCCGGAAAATAGTAGCTGCACAGTTAGCAGAGCAAGGAGCGGGAGGAGGGGCAGCCGGACCTCGGTTCTCCAGAGAACGAGGTACCGCCGGCCGTCTGACGGCGCGGCCGGGTCTGGGGTGCTGGGCACAGGGTGTGGGAGGCCCGGGACCAGGGGCTCGCTCTGGCGGCGCAGGGGGTGGGGAGCCCCCTCTCCTGGAAAAACCGAACGGCCCTCCGGCTCTGCCTGAGGCGACGGTGTGCGGCGAGGAAGGGCCCCCGCGGGACACGCGGGGACACGCTCTGGGGCGGATTTACGACTTTGGGCTGAAACGCAGGCGATGCATTACTGTCTGTGACTCCGCATCTGTTCGTTGGCGCCTCAGAACGACGCGGCCGTGCAGACACCGGAGCGCCTTCGGAAATCACCGCCGATAAACACAAACTGGCGGCGGGAAGTCACTGTCCCCCCGGTGAACGTGCGGGCGTCCCGTTCCGCTGTGCACGGTGTCCAGGGGATGACGAGGTGCCCGGCGGCGGACGGGCTCGCGCCGCTCCCGGCTTCGCAGGGGCCCCTTGCAGGAGCGTGGCGGGCTGCCCGGCCGGCATCTGCCGCGCGGAGCCGCTGCGGGGTGGGGGGGACGGGCTTCCCGGCCAGCGCCCCCCCCAGGCTGCCCCTCCCGCCCCCTGACACCATGGCCTCCCGGGAGCACAAACGTATCCTCACATTCTGGGGGGCCGGGGCTCAGAACTGTTGTAACAGCCCACAGGAGAGGGGGCGCTGACCCGCTGGCCGATCAGGGCCCCCCATTCTGCACGGGGAGCCTGAGACTCCTACCATTAACCCTTCACGTGCTGGGTCACGGGGACGCTGGGGGTCGCCAGGGAGGAAGCCAGGGAGCTCCCAGAGGGCGCCCCAGGGGCTCAGGGCGGTCCCCGGCGCCACCGGCTAAGACCCCTGCTGCTCAGTGTGACCCTCACCCTGTTATCGGCCGGTCCCCTCAGCCGTCACGGGACCGGCCACCGCGTCTCTGGGTCCCGGGACACGGCCTGAAGCCAAAGGCGCACCCCGAGCCTGCCCTCTGCTGGCCCTGCCCCAGTCCTGCAGTGCGGGGTGCAGATCCGCCTCTGCCCCCACAAGTGGACAGAGGACAGTGGACCAGTGCATGGGTCCCCAAAAAGGTAAACTGAGAAACAGAGAGGAATTGCAGCAAATCTGTTCAAGGTCACAAAGCCGATAACCGGCAACATCAAGAGAGAAACCCAGGTCCGTTTTCAAAACCTGTGCTCTTTCCACGGCTGCTTCTCAAGGACTCCATGTTGACTTTGTCAGCCATTCACACTTTAGTCTAAATGAGTGATGGTGTAGTCTGCATAGAGACCCGGCTTCCTGGTGTGCTGGGGCAAGTCTACGGAAGCCAGGCCTGTGTAACGTGAGCTGCAGAGTCAGCTCCTCACGTCCCCCTCATTCTTAGGCAGAAGCCTCACTGAGGAAACCCCCAGCAAGGGCTCCAGCCTCTGTGACCTCAGAGAAACTGCCTCCCGTGGAGACAAGACTGTACCGCCCTCCCGGCCTCGGTCAGAGTCTCCCCTCGACTCGAGGGCCAGGGAGCTCCTCCTCCTCCCTGGACCTTCTCACCATCCTGAGAACAAAGCCAGACTCCCAGGCCTGCGCTCCTTCCCCGTCCACCGCCTCCAGGCTGCATTCCGAGATGCACGCTCAGCCCTCCCTCCAAGCCCCTTCCCTGGACGCCTTCTCTTCCCTGCCTCCTCCCCACTCCCTGGCGGCGTCCTGGGGCCACATTGCAAACAGGCCACGGCCACTGGGAGCCCAAAGCCGGGCAATGACCTCGGCAACTTTACCGAACTCCTGCGCACCCGCGTTTCCCGCCAGAGCGGGCGGTCACCGGGACGGCAGTGCCACCAAGGGGACAGTGGCGGGGGCGCCCCAGTGCGGAGCCAGGCGGCCATTGAGAATTAAGAGCTGCCCGTTCCTGGGCGCCAAGAAATGCATCAGGTCCTCCAGCCCGGGGACGCGAGGTGACCCATCGAAGGTCACCAGTCCAGTCTGATCCTGAGCCAGGGCCCCCACCCCCAGCCGAGCGCCCCTGTGCGGCCGGGATCGGGTGGAGCCCCCCGGGGCTTCCCCACGCGGGCCCCCCCCCCACCCGAAGGGGGACCACCTACCTGGGCTGCCGGCGGCCGGCCCGGGGGCCTGTGGGCGCGGGGCGGGCGGGCCCTGGGGGTCGCCCATGAGGTGGTGGAACCAGCCTCGCCGCGGCGGGTGCGGCTCGTTGCCGCGGGGCCGGAGCCAGCGGGAGTGGGGCCGGGCCCGGGCGGGGGGTCTCCGCAGCACGTCCACGCCGAGCAGCAGGTCGGGGCCGACGCGGGGCCCCTGCAGCGCCCGGCTGTCCAGCAGGCCCACGCCCAGCGCCACGGCGGCCACGGGCAGCGCCTGCAGGGGGCCGGGGGCGCGGGGCGCGGGCGGCAGGGCCCCGCGGGCTCGCTGCAGCAGCAGCACGCTGCCCGCCATCAGGTAGGCGGCCGTGAGGAAGAGGATCAGGAACTGCATGCGGCGAAGCAGCTTCTGGAGCCGGAAGGACGGCTTGGCCATGGCCCCGGGCGGCGGGGCTGCCAGCGCCCGGCCGGGGGGGCGCCCGGGGCCGCCGGGGGCCTCACGCCCGCATCCCGGCGCCAGCCTGCGGTCCCCCGGGGCCAGCTCGCGGCAGGGCTGCGGCCTCTGCCCCCGGGTCGCCGGCTTCGCCGTCGCCGAGCTCTGACACCTGGAAGAGCAGAGAGAGCGCGCTGACACCGACGGAAGGGCCCGCTGCCCCCGCTGCCCCCCGCTGCCCCCCGCTGCCCCCGCTGCCCCCCGCTGCCCCCCGCTGCCCCCGCTGCCCCCGCTGCGGGCCCGGAGCCCCTCTACTCCAGGGGAGCCCTGTGCCGCGGGAGCACCAGGCACGGGCTCAGTCCCCTCCCCGCCACCGGCTCCCCGTGACACCGGGCGGGTCGGTTAGGCCTCAGCCTCCCCATCCACGAAATGGGAATGAGGCCCCCACTGGGGCATCAGTGAAGGGCTCCAGGGCAGCTCCGCACCGAATCCTCACTTGTGTATTATCTCATTTAACCCTCAGGGCAGCAGGCCAGGCGGACACGGTAACAGCCCATTAGACAGATGAGGCCAAAGGAGGCAAAGTCACAGAGGCGGCGGCGAACCGAGGAGCCCGGGTTTGAAACAGCACGTTTCCGAGTGGCCCGGCCAGTGATGGACACCAGCACGAGGGCACCCGGCCCAGGGCAGGCGTACACAGCAGGCACTCAGTACATGTGTCCAGTCTGCCGAGTCCTTCCTGGGTGTGCATGGGGACGGCACGCTGCGTGCTGCAGAGGCTTCGGGGGGGGGGGGTGCACCTGCTACCAGGGCCTGGGGGGCCCGCGGGGGAGCCAGGAGGGGGCCGCCCGGCCTCTGCGCCCCTCGGGTCGGCGGTGCCTACGGAGCGCGCGGCGAGGGGCCGGCGGGGGCTCCCCAGCTGCCGGGAGCCCCGAGCACAAGGACAGTGTTGTCCCGGGAAGAAGGGCTCCGGGGAGCGTGACTAACGCGGCCGGGCGCCCCGCCAGGCCCCGCAGCCCCTCAATGAGCGCTCTGTGCGCAGGGAACGGCGGGGCGTGCGTGGAAAGACAAAGTTTGGGCTCCTGGGGGCTGGCGTTCCGGGCGAGGCCCCCGGGGGGCGGGGGGAGCGCAGCGGACGGTGGATTTAAACCCGGGCAGCCATCTCGGTGGCGCCTCCAGAGCTCCTCTTCTCCCCGTTACGCTGGTGCGCGCCGGGCCCGCCAGCCGGCCCGGGCGGATCTGTAAAACCGCAGAGAAAATCCCAGGAAATCCCGCCTGATCCCGGCTCCAGCCTCGGGCCGCCAATCGCCCTGCGAGGCCGCGGCCGCCATGCTGCGAAGCCACAGATCTGATCACGGCGCTCCCTGCTCAGAACGCCTTTCAACGGCTCCCCGTGGCGTCCGGGATGAACTCCCAGCTCCTCAGCGTGACATTCAAGGCCCCACGCGGCCTGGTCTCTGGCCAAGCCCCTTGCTTCCGCTTCCCGCCACACGCGTGTGCAAGCGCCGGAGCACGCCCTCCCCGCGCCTTCACACACCGCCTCCTGTGTCTCTTCCGCCCTCTCAGCCCAGCGAATCCCTGTGTCCGCCAAGGCTCAGCCCCGGTGTCTCTTCCTCCAAGAAGCCCTCCCTGACTACCCCACCACCGCACCCAGCACACAGCACTCAGCACCTGGGACAGGGTCGGGCGTCCACGCAGGGCCGGCCGCCCCCAGCCCTGTCCCTTCCTGGCGGGGGGGCTGCCCGGTCTGCTCCCAAAGGGCCCCTGGTCACGACACTGGGCCTCTACCAGCAAATATACACTAAACAGGGAGAAGGAAGGGCCCCGCTGTGGAAGGGAAGGGCGGCCGGCGTTCGGGTCGGGAGCCCAAGGTGTGCGGGGCGCGGGGCTGTGCCCAGGACTTGGGGACTCGCCGCAGGAAGCGCGTGGTGGCCGGGGCGCCGCCAGGGCCCATCCGTCAGGGTTCCAGGGACCACGCCCGGCTTCCCGAGTCCTCTCCGGGGCCACCCCGCCCAGAGGGGCGTCCTGGTCTGGGGGGGCTGGCGTGGAGGTGGGGACGGCCACTCTCAGGCCCCACTGAGCAGCGGCCACCCTGAACTTTTAAAATCAAGAAGCTGGTTCCGGGCCCAGAAACACCCGCCTAGGGTTGGGGGGGCCACGCCTGAGCGTCGGGAACGCGTCCCCCCCCCCGACCGCCACTGTCACACCTGCCACTGACCCCCACGCCCTCGCCTGTCCTGGAGGTTGGCGGCCCCCAGGCGGGGCACCGGTCACACCCCAGAGCCCAGCGCACGGCCAGCAGCACAGGGAAGGGAAACGTTTGCTGAGCGACTGCAGGCGAACGCAGCCCGGGGGTGGGGGGACCCACAGCACCCGCACAAGGGCTCTGGCCAACCCGCCGGCCCCTGGGGCGCGCCCGCCACCGCGCGTCTGCCCTCCTCCGGCGTCAGCGCGGGGCCAGCCCGGCCCAGCTGCTCCGCACGCCCCACCCCGCGGGCCCCCATCTCGGAGCCACGGCCGCCACGGCCCAGCGGGGGAAGTGCCCCGCCCCGAGGTCAGACCCCAGGGCCGGCGCTGCCCGGGCCACCTGCCCCCGCGCCCTCCCGGGCCGCGAAGCCGCCCACTTCCCTGTCCCCGCCGGCTCGGAAAGCGGTTCCAGGCACCCCCATCAGCACCTCTTTGAAAACAAGCCAGGTCCAAGCTCAGGGAGGTGGGGCCGCGCATGGCTTCCCCCCAAACACCCCAGATGCCGCCGTGGGGGCCCCTCCGCCCGTGCACTCTGCTTTCCCACGTGGCACCTCCCAGCTGGGAGCCAGCAAAGTGCTTCGGGGGACGAGGGCGGTGGGGCTGTGCGCACGGCCGCGGGCGGGACCAGAGCGGGGCAGGCAGGGCTCGCGGGAGGGTCACCCTGAGTCCCCGCTCAGGAGTGAGGTGATCGGGGGGCAGGGGGGCTTCCGGGGTGTCAGGAGGCGCCTGGCCTGCGCGTGGGATGGGGAGACGCTCCCGCCTCTCTGCAAGGTCGGGGGTCAGGGCCGCGGGCAGGTGAGGGGTCGCAGGGGGGAGAGGAGGAGGGCAGCCCCGTGGGGCCCGGGGGCTGGGGAAGCCCTCATGTGACTCTCCCTCCGTCACCCCCCCACCCCCACCCCCGGCCAGAGAGGACACACAGTGGTGGGGGGGGGGCTCCAGAGGCCCCCAGGAGCACCTCAGCCTCTGTGGCCAGGGCAGTGGGGACCGGGACCCTCTGGGGTCAGAGCCACGGGGGGAGCCCCCGGCCGGGCTCCGCTCCGGAGTAGCCCTCCTCTGCCTGTTCTCACCCCTGCAGCACCCCCCCCCGCCCCGCCCTGCTCAGGCTCCGCGCACATTGTCTGCAGCCTCCAGGTCCCGAAGGCTAAGCCTAAGAACGTGATCTTCCTAAAGGAAGAGCCAGCAACGCGCGGACGGCAACGTGTCCCCAGGACTCGGACGCCCAGGCCCCTCAGCCTGACCCCCGTCTGCCCGCCCCTTCCTCTCAGCTACCCTCCCAGAAGGCCCCGCCCCAAGCTCAGTGCCCCAGGCCAGCCCGCTCTTCCAAGGCCAGCAGGCCTGGGACCCCTCGCACGGCTCAGACATGCTTTGTGGCCATCAAGGTGCAGTTCTAATGCCACCTCCTCCAGGCAGCCCTCCTGCTCCCCGAGGCGGAGCTCCACGGCGGGCTGACCCTGAGTGCTATGTCCTGCCTGGAGTCAGGGCTCGGAGCTGCTCTGCCCACTCTCCCAGCCTGGGAGCCCCCTGCGGGCCCTCGGGGGGGGGCACCGGACAGACCCCAGGAAATCTATGTCCCCACCCCCCTCCAGTGCTCAGGCCCACGGCACCTGCATCCTGGGCCCCCCACCTCTGCGCCTTGGAGGCTCCAACCAAAGACAGCAAAGGACCCACAGAAGTTAAATCTCTGGGCCCTCGGGCGGGACAAGTCTGGGGAGTGGGGAGGGGGCGGGACCCCGACTTAGAAGAGGCGGATATTTTGATCCTCTGAAGGCAGAACTTCAGCAGAAAAGTCCAAAATAAGAAATGTTGCTAAAAAAATGTAAGCAGAAGAGAAAAAGGCGAAAACTCCATTCAGTGCAAAGGGGCGGGTGCCTTCCGTCACACCCGCCGCCGAGGCCTCCCTGCCGCACCACGCGGGTCACTGTCGCACACACTGACGAACGGGTGAGCGACGCCCCCGTGAACCCCGAGAACTCAGCACCACTGCCCCCCGCTTCCAGACGCAGCCTCGGCCACACCGAACCCCAGCTGTCGGGCCCCGCGTTCCCCGTACCCGCCCAACAGCCTTCCCCGGCTTCACCGCAGGGACTGAGCCGGTCCGGGCACCATGCTCGGGGCTGGGGGCCCCCGCGGCGGCTGGCGCGGCCCCTTCTCGGCGGGTCCATCTGAAGGGGGACCCAGTCGGGAACGACAGCCTAGGGCCACCCCTCCGGGTGAACGCCTGAGGCTGAGTCAAGCCCCCTTGGGCGAGCGTGGGGGCAGGACGCAGCTCAGCCTCACCCCTTCTCGGCTCCCGCGGTCCCTGGGATGGGGGATTCCCAGGAGGGGTGCCGTGGGCGCCACCGGCCTCCGCACCCTCCTGGCCCCCTGGCGCCTGACGGCCGCCCTCTGGGGGGGGCTCGCGTCCGCAAGGGTGCCCAGCGCCAGAGACGACAAGCCCGGGGGAGGGAAGGCGCGTCAGGAGCCGACAGGTGCGCTCGTCAGCAGCTCACTGAGCAAACCCAGCCCGACCTTCCACACGCGGCTCACGTCCACACCGGCGGGGCGTGCGGTCCCTCGCCAACCGCGTTCTCGCCAGGCGGCACACTTCCCATAACCGCGGCAGGCTCCCCACGGCTGCCTCGGGGCTGAGCCGCGGGAGCACAGGCGCGGGAGCACGGGGACCCGGCCCTTCAGGAAGGCAGCGGCTCAGGCGGGATGCAGCCCTGGCCTGGCGGGGGAGCCCAGGGCAGGCCAGGCCGCCTCCCGGAGCCGCCGCCGTGACTCTGTGACTCACCCCTGGGGCCGGGCCCCCACTGCCCTGCAGCGAGACCAGAACCTGATGGGGCAGATGGGGACTGGCCTTCTGCCTGACCCAGGCCAC